AGACCTGGAGTGTTGCTGAGTTCACTGCAACTCTAGGAAATGCTGGATGCAAGCTAGATAACAGCTGTAGTTCTCTCTTCTTGCTTTCAGCCAGGAACCATGATTGAGTGGGGAAACAACTGGTAAGCACCGGATTTTTCAAGTACCTTTTTAAAAGCACCTTTGCCTGGAAGAAGCATTTAAGGGGAAGCTGATGGATGGATCACCTGGTGGGCTGTGACGGAATGGTGGGCTGCCTTATGCTTGGAACAACACAAGGATTTATGCTTTTAAGTTTTCCACCACTTTGAAATTCCCTAGAGCACTTCTCCTGCACAAACTCACAGTTATCCTCATTTCAGTGAGCTGCATCTGTCTACGCAAGCAGCGATTTCCCACATTTATCCATTTGTATAGTGCTGGGGGATTGCGACAAGGCAATTTGCTTGTGATCGATAATTTGGGGTCTGTCACATGGTGGTTTTACTACAACTTGGGTGCCGAACCTGCAGCATTGTTTTCCCCTCTTTGTTTCCCATTTGTTGTCACCATATTTTCCTTGTCATTTCTCTGTGCTTTCTCAAACCATAGTTGATCAGATTTTGAAAAAGTGCAGAGGACCAGTGAGGAAAGGACATCAGTATTATGAGAAAAATGCCACAGCTGGACACTCAAACCAAACCATGGGGGAACCTCCATGTGAAAACCCCCTTAAGCCACCATATGAAAAACCCCTTAAGCTGGGTCTGCTGTATCCAGGTACCCTAATAGAAATTAACAGAGTTCCCAAGACATGACAACCATAGAGTACGCTCATGAGTCCAAGATTTACTAGAGACATTAAAATTATTTTATTGGGAGGATGATGGTTAGGATGCATGCAAGTTTTGCACTTTGTAAACACAAAACAAACAAAAAAACAGGATAATCTAAATTTGGAATCGGAAGCAGGAGGTTGAAATGTTTTTGTTTTAGGATGTTAGGATGTTTTTAAGGTTGTATTGTATTGTTTTAAGCTAGTATGTATACCATGTTTTTATTATGGCAAGGTTCCCTTGCCTCTGTAAGCCGCCCTGAGCCCATTGGGGAGGGCAGGGTATAAATATGAAAAATAAATAAATGAATGAACAAAAAAGTGCAGTTGGAGGCACTAGGAAATGGACAAAAAAAATGCATTTGGACATTAGGTAAAGGTAAAGGTTCCCTTGTCCGACTCTAGGGTTGCGGTGCTCATCTCTGTTTCAAAGCTGAAGAGCCAGCGCTGTCCGAAGACATTTCCGTGGTCATGTGGCCGGCATGACTAAACACCAAGGCGCATGGAACGCTGTTACCTTCCCACCGAAGTGGTACCTATTTATCTACTTGCAATTTCTTGCTTTCGAACTGCTAGGTTGGCAGGAGCTGGAACTAGAGATGGGAACTCACTCCGTCATGCGGCACACTCGGGTCTCGAACTGCTGAACTACTGACCTTCCACAGCGTGCAGTTTAGCGTTTTAACCATTTGAGCCACATTATATATTGCTATAGATAAGGCAAAACCTGGCTTGTTCAGACCTCCCAGCCTTTTTGTGCTGAGAAATCAGTTAAACATCTGGTTTACCTGGGTTGTATGAATTCAGACATGTGGGTTAACCAGAATTAGTAAACCCATCCACCCTGATCCCAAACTAGAGGTCAGTTGTTTAATCTAGGATTTCACTGACATTTGAGGGGGGCAACTTCTGTTAATTTATGTGCTTGAATTCGTACATCATGGGCAACTGCAATTAGTATTTAATTGCCATTTTCAGCATGGGGAGGAGGAAGGAGCAAGCCCCATAACAAGCTGGGTTCTTGCATGTATCTCTTGGGTTGTTACTACTCCCCATTTGTCCACCTCATTGGGTCCCCCAATCCAGATGAAAAGTGGAATATAAATAAAATTTCAAGAAAAAAAGTAAGCATCCGGGACCTAAACTAGAGTTTAATTCGGGGTTTGAATGTTGGGAAGGGAGGAATCTGTTTCCCTCATACCTTTTACTGATGCTTCTGCCAATTGGTGGCATGCATGCATAACCGTCCAAATGGCTGCTGTCTGGGGCTTGCTGTGGGCACCTGCTTGTGTGTTGACATGTGAGACAGAAGAAGCTGGCAGGCAATTGGATTATGCCAGCGTGAGTCCACAAGCCTAGTGGATAGTGTGTTGATTGTGATCCCTGCTTCACAATGCACTGTTGGGGAAGTTTCTCTCTCAATCTGGGTATTGTAAAAACTACCAAAAATAAATGTGGGTTTTTTCATTATTTCCTCCCTCTTGGTGTTAACAGGGCACGGGCCATTAAATATCGCCAGGAGAACCAAGAAGCAGTGGGTGGCTTCTTTTCCCAAATTGGGGAGCTGTATGTTGTGCACCACTTGTGGGGTACGTGATTCTCTTTCTCTGAAAAGCATAGACCTCTTGCTACCTCTAGTTCCTACCTTCTTGCTTGGGTGTTCTCCCTTCTCTTCCACCCTGCACTGGCATGCATCCAAGAAACCAGATGGGATGAAAAACTTTGAATGGTGTAAATGTGAATTGGAGGGTTGGGGGGGTGACGGGTGTAAGATGCTGCTGCAAAGCAAAGTGTCAGAGGAGAGGGAAGTAGCTCCAATGTAACTGTGTAGGGGACTTTTATGTAAGCATACAAGGGGGTACTTCTGAATCAAAAAGGCAGGGAAGAAGAAATCAAGTAAATAATTGTGCATGCCAAGTCAAACTAAGCCTTCTTTTGCAATCAGCAGAGTTGAGTGGTAATGTTTTTCTGGACTGTACCATTGCCGGGGGGGGGGGGGGGTGCGCACACCTGAATGTTTCTGCATGGTAGGGCACAGAAACACTTGTGTGTATTGGGGACCCTGCACATAGAAATCTAGCATGTCAGGGAGAATGCTTTAGCTTCACCTTCTCCCAGAGACTTACTTTTCTTCTTAATGCATGGAGGTTTTTTCCCTCCATGTCAGGGAGCATTCAGTCACGTAGCCTAAAGTCCACTGATTATATAAACTGGCTCAAACTGACTGAAATGATGCTGCTAAGCAGCAGTTGGGGTTCCCTTTTGGTTCTATTAAGAGCAGCCCTGCTGACTCAGACCAAAGCTTTCCAGCACCACAGTCAGAGAAAGAAAGGCATTTTCCACCACCTGCTACCTGGAGATCCTGGGGACTGAACCAGGAACTTTCTGCATGCAAACCATGGACTCTGCCACTGAAGAGCCACCTCTGTCAATGGTCCATCTACTCCAGCATCCATTTCAAACAATGACAAGGCTGTGAGAACTCCAGGATCAGGATATAAAGGCAAACACCTGTCACCAGCTGTTTGTCTCCCCCACATGTGTAATGTCTCTGAACGTGGACATCCGGTTTAACTGCTGTGATTGTGAATTGGTTTAAACCCTCCTTGAAAACCACTTGCGATTGTGAATTTCATAAGTGAAGAGTGTGTAGAAACCGAACATCTTCCTTTCCTGTCTGGTCTGATAACGATAAGGTGGTTGGTTCTCCTTTTAGCATACAGAGATCTGCAGTCCCGAGAAGAAACAAGGAATGCAGCCTGGAGGAAACGAGGATGGGATGAGAATGTTTACTATACAGGTGAGGTGTCTGTTTGGGCCTGGGGGGGGGGGGTCATTCCAGCCAGCCTCCCGTGTCTCCTTTCCTGCTCATTTCCCTCTTCCAGCGCAAGCATCCATATCCTCGCCCAAGCTTGCAAATGCCATCCTCTCCCTACTAGCCTCCAGTTGAGCTCACCTGTGCCATCCATGACCCTTCTCGTCTCTGCCAATCCTCACACTAAACAGGCTGTTGCATGCAAATCATTCTGCCATGGGTGAGGTGAAAATTTTCAAGTTCAAGTTAGCCTCTATTGGCATAAATTGTTGATACAGAATATGCAATTTAAGAGCAAAATAAAAACGTGACCCAAAGGTACAGCAATAAAAAAAGAAAAATGATGTCTCTAGAATCCTTTGGCACAGCTTTAAAGCAGAGTGGAGAACCTTGGCCACCTTCTCGGTGATGTCAGAGGAGAAGTCATTCAGAAGTCTGTGTTATCTTGAGTGCATCAGAGCAGTCCATCATACTGCTTAAAGTAGAATGTATTATATATACCTTAGATCCACATACAGGTGATAATGCCAAAGTAATTGACTCAACAGGTGATAATGCCAAAGTAATTGACTCAACACATTTTCTTTTGCAAGGGCAATGTCTGGCTGAATGAGATATCTTGCTAAATCTGCCATGAGGTGAAATTGACTCCAGTTTTATGCCCCCAGCATGCTTAGGATCTGGGGGTGGGGAGGGGGCTGCAAGTAGTTAGCAGGTAAATTTTTCTGGTAACCTGCAACTGGGCCCCAGTTTCTGAACTGGAAAAAAAGGCTCTTAAGAGATCAGAATTACTCTCTATCCCAAACTACCACAGATATAGGGGGGAAGCCTTGGAGATCTCACTTGTTAGAGTTATTCAGAACTGAGCAGGCATCTCTCCCTGGCTTGCCTTTGTGTCTTGGTAAGCGTGAGCTATATAAAGCTACAGCAGTATGTCTTGACCAGGACGGCCCAGTGATTGCATCAGACCTCGAAAACCAAGCAGGGTCCGTCCTGCTCAGTACTTGGATGGGAGACCACCAAGGAAGTCTGGGGTTGCTATGCAGAGGCAGGCAATGGCAAGCCACCTCTGAACATCTCTTGCCTTGAAATTTACAGGGTCATCATAAGTGCACTGTGGCTTGATGGCCTTTTCCACCAAGACACAGCAATATAGTTGTTGGGACTTTGGAAAACTATCTGTACGAGAACAAGGCACCCACAGTGTTCCCTCTAAGCTGAGTTAGTGTGAGCTAGCTCACAGTTTTTTAGCCTCCAGCTCACATATTTTTGTCTGAGCTCAGGAAGGAGGGCTCCAGAGCAAACTAATTTATGCAGGAGACAAATCGCTCGCTCACAACTTTAATGCCAGTAGCTCACAAAGTAGAATTTTTGCTCACTGGACCCTACAGCTTAGAGGGAACATTGCCCACGGCCCCTCCCAGGTTCCTCTTATTCTTTGTCATACCTCCATTTCTGAAATGTTCTGTCAAACATCAGTCCTCATATGAAGAAGCAGTCCTCCAGATAGACCTTTCTGATGCTCTCTGGGGTGGCAGAAGGGTGAGAGAAGGAACAGTACTGTTCTCAACCAAATAATGTTGCAGGATATTCTAGTGACCCAAGATGGAGGGTTTGTGAAGGCTTTCTTTGTTGGCCAATGATCATTGGGTATTGTAAATAAAAAGCAGGAGACTGACCAGTTATGAAAGTGCACAGAGAGTTTATATCATTATAAAGGTGAATATATACAGAGATATTTACAGGCTGTTGAACAGCATGTCGTGCCTTAGTCTATGAGAACTGAGTCCCCTCCAGCTTTCTAAGCCGATAGCTATTATGCTAACCCCCAGCCACTCTCTAACAAGGTGATGTAATCACTAGCTCTAACAAAGCCCTGAAAGAGCAACACCTGCTAGAAAACACCTGGCTGTAATTACATGATTACTAGCATGACAGCTACGTCTGACAAACAGATCAAACTGATCTATAGTAACTGCTTGCTACCTCTATCACTCTGACATATATCTCAATAATGATAGTATAGTGTGAGTGGTGAAGGAATCTGACTTTCCTTCCTTTGTCTTCACAGTACCTCTCGTTCGGAGCATGGAGTCCCGGATAATGATTCCCTTGAAGATCTCACCTTTGCAGTGATGCTGTCCTCCCAACCCAGACACCCTTTTATCAGCCACTAGCCTTGACAACTGTACTGGAAGGAATGAGTCTTGCCATCTGCCCCTTCCAGCTTCCCTCTGCCCAGTCCCTTCTCCTGCTGTTTCATTTGTAGGCTGTGTGAGCTTCTGCCCCTTTTTTGTCAGGCTGCTGACCTCTGGCAGGGACAGTGTGTGCTGGACATCCTTGCTGCTAGGCTCACAGCAGACTCTGCATGGAGCTCGGAGATGGAGTATCACTGCTGGCCCTAAGGTGTGCTTCTGAACTGGTTTCTTCAGGGACAAGCTGTATGAACATTCTCGCACCTGATACATTCCCAGTGGCCTGAGATTTGATCTGGAAGCTCTTCTAAGTGCATGGACTGTATGAAAACTGGAATATTATGTGCCTGGTTCCTCCTGCAAATAGCCCTTGTTGGAGAAAAGCGGTAGTCCTGGCTGTTTGTCCGTCAGTCTTCAGTGGCCCATTCTTGCTTGCTTCCTGGACGTATCTTTTGGTATTGCCATCCAGCACACATTCAGGTGGAAGAGTGTTGCCTTCTGACCTGGCATCTTACTTGGTGTCCCAGATGATGGCAAGCCCTCTGGGTGGCAAGGCACATTGCCTGCTCTAGGGCCAGGGGAGCCAGACTTGCTTAAAATGTTACTCCGTCCAACTGGTTGGGTATACCATAGCCAGAAGTGTTTATCCAGCCACCAGTGAATGTACATTCCTCTTCCCTAGTACAAAGAGGATAGAAGGTTAGCACGTCCTCCAAGAGGCAAGACCCCAGAGATGGCTTTGGCAGGAGAGATGCTTAACTGTTTCTGTCTCCCTCTTTACCTTTTGCATAGGCTGTTTGGCGTGGTTCAGTCTGTTTCATCCCCTCTGCCCCTGTTCCCGCCCCCCAGAGCAGCTAGGCTTCAGTCTGATACTTTGCATAACTGCCGTAGACCTCATCTGACTGTACCTCATCGCTACAGACGAGGCATCAGGACAAGCGTTCTCTGTCAGGCACTGTCAGCTTGCAAAGGAGGTGGCCCTGGGTGAAGCAGAGCTGTTCTCCCAGTTCTGGAGCAAGGCACTGTTCCTTTTGTCAGCTCCAAACTTCTATGGAAATGCACAAGACCAAGGCAGAGTTCTAGGAAAGTGTAAGAACTCTCACTGCCTGCCCTTCTGCCTACAGTTTGTTTGTTCTCCCCTACAGAAGCCCTCTAGCTGAGCTTGTTATGGGGTGGGAGGGGCCAGAGTCAGGGGACTTTAGGTCTCGTAACAAGTGTGAGCCATGTGGTGGGTAGACTACTGAAAGCTTGTTAAGGAAACATTCCTTTTGTAGGGGATCATGTAACCAGCCTAACTGCACATGTAATTAAATATTTAATATTCTGGTATACCTTCTTGAGCATTTGGGGGGGGGATATACCCCATCTTTGGAGTACAGTTTCTGTATGTGGCATTTGGATCACAAAGTTATACGGATCTGCAACAAAGTTATACGGATCAGAACCACAAGCCAGGTCGGGAAGTGTTGTTATGTGTGAAAACTGACAGCGTGCTCACATTCATTTTTATGTAGGAGCTGAGTCACTGATTGTAGTGGGACTTGTTTGTAGTGCATTCTGATGGTATCTCATGCCACTTTCTCTAGCAGAAACATGTTGGTGCTTGTTTCTTTGGAGATCAGGATCAAAATACATTTCCCTTTTCCATGGTGAGGGACATGATGAGTACAAGGCTGCACCCTGGCTGTGGTCCTGATGTGCTTTTTACAGGTGCTTGGCCCCTGCTGTTCCAAGTAATGAGTTCTCAACGTTCATGCCTTTGAGAACATGCCCAGTCTTCTGTAGGTTGCAGAGGAGGGTAACCTTCATTTACAAAGTCCAGTTTTTCTAGAAGGCTTGGGAAGCCCCGAACCTTGGCCTAGTTTTATTGCTTTTGTGATCAGCAGGGGCTATTGCTGTACTTCTAGATAGGGTGAATGATATAGAATTGCTGCACTGGGTTTAAGCTGCCTCAGACGTTTCATGCATAGTTGGGATGATATACAGGTTTTAAATGCATAACTATATCCTGCGTTCTCTTGGTTCAAAATCATCTGCAGGGGGCTTACAAATACTAAAAAGGAAATAATCAGCTGTAGAACTCGACAAGTAGCCAGGAGTTGAAACCAGTGTTCCCTCTGAGCTAGCTCAGTTTTTTAGCCTCCAGCTCACACATTTTTGTCTTAGCTCAGGAAGGATGGCTCCAGAGCAAACTAATTTATGTAGCAGCCAAATCTCTTGCTCACAACTTTAATGCCAGTAGCTCACAAAGTAGAATTTTTTAATAAGTATCACCTAGCACCTAAACCTATGTGGGTGGGTGGGGGGGATCCCAGAGTTGAGGTGCCAGCATGAACAAAACCCTGACCTTGTAGTCACTCCCCCCCCCCAGTTCTGAAGTGGGGGGGGGGCTGAAGTGCCAGGCCTTGTTGAGACTCTTAATTGACTAGTAGGTATGTGGGAGGATAGCAGATGGCCCATTACAGTACACTCCTCCCGAACCACTTAGGGCCTTAAAGGTCTGGCACTCTGAATTGTGCCTGAGAGCAAATAGGACGCCAATACATAATTTCTTTAAAACTGGCAACTATACTCCCAGTAATTTATGCCGGTCAGCAAACCTTGTAGCATATGAAGCTTCTGGGCACGGGGACATTGCAGTAGTCCAACATGGCTATGTTCAGAGCATGGGTGACTAGGGCCAGATTACGCCTTTTGAGGAAAGAATGCCACAGAACACTTCAGCCTTCATCTGTAGATAAGGCTGTCCTTGTACCCTGAGCTGCAAACCTACGTCAAGAGCAGCGCAACACCACCCAGAAGAGGCTGACTCCTTGCTCCCTGACTAGCACCATTATTGACTAGCAACGCATCCATCTTACCTGGATTATGTTTCAGGGACAGCCTTGTGTCCATGGAGCTACAAGGTGGACCACTGTTCCTCTACTATGTTGTCTCAAACTCTGGGATCCCCAGTGTGGTACCTGTGGGTGCCATGGTGTCTGCCAACACTCTTCCTGGCACATGCCAAATGTTCTTAGGAAGTGGATGGGGCCAGGTAGGGCTTTTGCCCAGCAAGCCTCATTGGCTGTGCAGATTTCTTACCATGTTTGTTTGGCACCCAACTGCCACCACTGCACAAGAAGCTTCATTGTGTGACTGAAGATAAGTTGCAGCACCCATTTTGTGACTGGCTTCACCTCTGTGGCAGCCATTTTGTGGCTGTGCCCACCATGCTGTGTCAGAATTCCAAATGTGCCTGCCCACAGGCTCAAAAAGGTTGGGGACCATTACTCTAGCTGATGCCATTATTAAATACAAATCTGGAGAAGTCTCTGGCTGTGAAGGGAGGCTGCAGCTAATCATGCCCTCCTGTCACTTATCAGCTCGTTATCAGGGTTGATCAGGGCTGTGCCGCTGCTGAGATAATGGAACCTTTTTCCTTTTCTTGGCGAACAGGTGAAGAGCCCATGTGTCAAAAGTCCCAGTCCCAACCCTGGGTAGGGACTTTTGGTACAAGGGGTAAAGGTAAAGGTTTCCCTTGCTCGAAAGCAAGTCGAATCCGACTCTAGGGATGTGGTGCTCATCTACGTTTCCAAGCCGAAGAGCTTCCAAAGACGTTTACATGGTCATGTGGCCGGCATGACTAGATGCCAAGGCGCACAGAACGGTTACCTTCCCACCGAAGTGGTACCTATTTATCTACTTGCAATTTCTTGCTTTCGAACTGCTAGGTCGGCAGGAGTTTGGACCAGATATGGGAGCTCACTCCGTCACACCTTCCGGTCTACAGTTCAGCGTCTTAACCACTTGAGCCACCGCAGCCCTATGGTACAAGGGGAGTATGACACAAAACATAAGTTACAAAATACTAGAGAGAGTCAAACTCACCCTAGTCTTGGTAATTGCCACCAGGCCTTTCAATCTATCCCAACAGCTCAGAAGAGAAAGGCCAAGTCTCCCAGCTTCTCGGAATTAACAAGAAAAGTCAGCTCTGGAGAGCAGGACTGCCGTCTGAGTTTGCAAAGGCAAAACAGTTATCTGGTAGGTGGTCAAGAGCCAAGGCTCTGGATAAAGGCTTTGAAGTTATTGAAGGCAAAACCCACAACAGGGTAAAAATATAATTATTTATTTAAGGTGCAAAAATGTATAAAACAAGACTAAACAGGGAAGGAAATAAAACAAATAAACCTAAGGTTTTCCAGCATAGCTAAGTACATAGTAACAAGGTCCCAGCTACCATTCAAGGAAGACCAAGATGTTCACAACTTAGCCAGTCCAGGCAGGAATCAAGTAGGATTTATTTATTTATTTATTTATTTCGCTTTTACCCCGCCCTCCCTGCCAGGCGGGCTCAGGGTGGCTTCCAAAAACTGATAACCAGTATACATGTTACAGTAATAGAATAAAATACATCATTTAAAAACATAGACAAGTCAATATAAAATATTCATTCGATGGTGATAAATAAAGCCGCCCTGAGCCTTCAGGGTAGGGCGGAATATACATCCAAATATAAATAAATAAAAGTGCAGTTTAGGGACACATTCAGCGGTGCCATTTTGGGACCTGTAACACCACTGACATGTTGCTGTGTCAAGTAGTCACCAAGCTCCTAGCCATAGTGTAAGGACTAAGTAGATTTAGGAAAGGTCTCTGATTGACCCAGGCCTGGTTATACCAATCAGCCACCCGAGAGGTGATGTAACTCTTCTTTGGTTGCTAGGCACGTGACATCCAAGAATGGACAAGAGGGAGGGAGAGAAATGAAATCGTACTGCAGATAGGTCCACCCCATTCCACACAGGTGTCCATAACTTCAGTTGCTTGGAATGTGCTAATTGGAAGGACCAAGGACCGTTGGTACTCCCCAGCACTTCAGCTGCAAACAATTTCGCTGGCAAGGTCACTATGCTCTATCTACTTCTGAACCATCTCTAACTGAGAAGATTCTCGTAGGCCTCTCTGCAGCCTGAGCCAAAGATTTTATTTTACAGAGCAAAGCAAGGAACCATTTTTCTTTACACCATGCCAATCTAAAAGGCTAAGGATTTATTGCACACAAAGTCCACTGACAACACGGGGTTGGCAGCTTGTCAGAGAGAAGTCAGACGGTGCTTTCTGTGCTTTGCCCATAAGGGCACTCCCAGCAAGAGCCCACTCACTGTCCGCAGGTTTTACTTCAGGATCTCATTCATGCTAACACCAGACACAAAAATCTCACCTATACTTTGGCTATCTTGGAGAGATGGACAATGTGGAGGATGATCAGTTCACAAAGGAGACAGAGACACCCAACCCTAATTTTATTCTCCCCAGTTTTTAGCTTTCACACCCCGATTGATCATTGGTTTGGGTCATTCAGCAGAGGGGCCGTCGGCTTGCTTGGGGTCCCAACCTCCTGGAATTTCTCCCCACCTCTGCTGTAACCCATCATTAGAGGCCAGGCTGCCAGGGTCTTTGTTATCTCCCCTTCCTGGCATGGTATGATGCCAAGAACGAGAGCTTTATCAAAACTGTGCGTGACTATGTCTACTCCATTTCACCTAAACGTTTCTCCAATCTCCTGGAATTTCTCCCCACCTCTGCTGTAACCCATCATTAGAGGCCAGGCTGCCAGGGTCTTTGTTATCTCCCCTTCCTGGCATGGTATGATGCCAAGAACGAGAGCTTTATCAAAACTGTGCGTGACTATGTCTACTCCATTTCACCTAAACTTTTCTCTTTCCTTAGTTGATTTGGTAGGAGAGTCCTGTAGCTCTGTTAACACTGAAGCAAGCCTTTAACCCAGAAAGAAAAGAGAGCAGGGCAAAGAAAAATGGCTCTACTTTGATTCAGCTGTATCCAGGAACTTAGCTCAGAATTCTCACACAAGGGTTGTCTCTGACAATCATGAGAGTTTTCCTGTGAAGAGCTTCATTTGGTGCTGAAAATAACTACTCGGGAGGAAGCTCTTAACCTGAACTGGCAATGAACCAGCTAAAGTGTCACAGCGACAGCAGCGATTGCACTCCTGCACAACATGTCAAGGGCTCAAAGCATTTTGTGTGCCATTATCTTGTAATCCTTACAACAGTTGTGCTAAACTGGTCACTGCAATCATTTCTCTTTATTGCAAAGAGGGGGGAGGGTATTGGGGTGGGGTTCCTAATGAATACACGGCGGAGGTGAGTTATGAACCAAGCACTTTTATGATCCGTAGTTCAGGCTTAGCCACTATCATCACCAGCTGAGCAGTAACTAAGGGGGTGCATGCACTAACAGTTCTGACCAGGCTCCCCCCCCCCCACATACTCACAGCTCCATCCATGGAATAACGTGGCCCATGAGGCAAGGTACTGCATCAGGGATTAACAGAACCTTACAACCTGGTGCAGGAAGGGTGTGGGCTCTGTGTCACCTGTTAATCTGAAACAATCCATTTACGAGCTGTTCTTTCTGTTTGCAAAGCTATCATCATCTAGCAAAATCCAGCACAGTGGAAACTGCTAATCCTCAAACCATTTGGGTGTTCTTGGGTCACAATAAGGGCAAAGCCTAGAGACTGAGAAAGGGAATTTACTGATCCTGGCTTTGGGTGGGTATGAATTCCTACAGCTGCCAGGCTGACGCGATTTTAGATATTTGGCTGTTGTGACCCCCAAGATTGCCTTCATGGGTATTTCTACGTACAGATAAGCCCCAGAGGGGCCATAACTCAATGGTGGATTGTCTTACTGAAAAAGAAAGCAGAGTTCATATAGCCTTTAAGCCTAGCAGCAAATGATCTTTCTAAAACTAGCAACAGGGGGGAAAGGGCATAAGTGGGGAAATTCAACAGTCCTTAGACCAGTGGTTTTCTATAATATCTGCCAAATACAGGGTACTAGGCAAGGTCACTCAAACATAAATAGTTCAAGGAGCCTTATGGCACCTTAAAGACTTAACAGGTTTACAGTGCAATCCTACACAGTGTATAACCCCTTTCAATGAGCTTACTAGTTTAGAGTCTGGAGTCAACTTTGTCAGATGTGAGAAGTGTGTGATATCTGCAATGGACAGATATATAGGTAGATGTGCAGAGAGGAAACATTGTAATCAGTGGGTCCCAAAGGCCATGAGATAACAGTCTGTGATATTTGAGCCTCTTGCATTTTGTTGCTTGCTGGTCTCCATTATTTTTTTCTTTGTACATGTGTATATGTGTATAGATACGTAATCTGCCTCCAAGCACAACATTTCACACACCTGACAAATAACAAGGTGTGTTATCTGCTTATGGGGGGAAAGGAGAGGAGAGAGAGGAGAGATTGGATTTATACCCCGCCCTTCACTTGGAGTCTCAGAGCGGCTTACAAACTCCTTTCCCTTCCCTTCCCCTCCCCCTCCCCACAACAGACACCCTGTGAGGTGGGTGGGGCTGAGAGAACTCTGACACAAACTGCTCTTTTTCAAGGACAGCTGTGCCAGAACTTGTGACTGACCCAAGGTCACATCAGCAGGTGCAAGTGGAGGAGTGGGGAATCAAACCCGGTTCTCCCATATTAGAGTCCGCACACTTAACCACTACACCAAACACATGCTCTGAGCTGAGGCCTTCTTTTTGTGGTGTAGTGGTTAGAGAGGCAGACTAGGATCTGGGAGACCCAGGCTGGAATTCCCATTCTGCCATGGAAACTTGCTGGGTGATCTTGGGCCAGTCACAGACTCTCAGCCTTCCCTGCCTCACAGGGTTGTTGTGAGGATAAAATGGAGAAAAACAATGTAAGCCACACTGGGCTCCCACTGGGAAGAAAGGCTGGGCATAATTTATTTATTTACTTCATTGTATCAATATATAAATAAATCATGTAAGTTTTAAAGAAAAGAATGAACAGTTCCCAGGTTCTTTGAAAAAATATGTCCAGTACAACATTTTGTACCAGAATTATGTTAAGCATTTCACAAACAAAACTCCTTGGCAGAAAACCTGACAACCAAGCTCTTGGAAAGCAGGTGGCTGTTTTGTAGATGGCCTTGGTTTAATTGCGTAAGCCCCGTGTTGCCATTTGGCAGAAGAGGGCTCCTTACAGAAAGGCAAATAACGCCCTATTGTTATCTTGGATCTGGGGGGCCAAGGTAAGGCCGTGGTATAAAAGAGCCTGCCAGTTATGCCTGCAGCCTTTCCTGCTGTACTTTGCTAGCAAAATGAACTTCATCCTTCTCTTCCTCCTGGCAACAGGTAAGATGCAGTTATCCGGGCATTGTGGGTTGGTTAAGGAGACTGCTATACTTTAGAAAGACATTCCTTTTGGACTTGAAAGTGTGTTCCTTTGTTTATTGCTCCACTAAACTCTTTCATTAAGAGGGGGGCATCTAAAAGGTTCAGACGATGCGGGGAAAGTGAAATGTTCTTGGTTGCCTTCCCCACTGTGGAAGTCCCTCCTGTGGGTTTCTTGCCAAATTACAAACCCAAGTATATTTGAGGAACATTGTAGTGTCCACTTACCACTTGAGGCTCAAAGTGGAGTCAGGAAAGTGTAAGCACAAACCAATGAAATTAAAGCAATGTTATTAGGAGGAGGCATTTTTTAATTTTTTTTGTTACCTCCCTGGACCTGTGGAAAGGGGTACACTATAAATCTGACTGTCTACCAATTAATGCTGTCTTGTTTCATAGAGAAGTTTTCTTGTAGGTTACCATACAGATCAGTGGGAATACTGTTGTACATACAATACCCTTTTATTCAGACCAACCCAAATATCACAAAGAGCAAGCTTTCAAGTCCTCTAGGAAACGTCATCAGGCTAAACGTTTAGTAAAAGAAGTGGGGGGGGGGAGTGAAAATATTGCAGGACATATTGACAAAGTCTCACATTGTAGATAATGAGCTTCTTCACACCTTCAATTCCTCCACCCCACTCCCTCCCTTTTTTGTATCAAACATCCAGCCCAATGAAGAGTTCTGTAAAACTCAAACACCTTGCTATTTTGGTGACATTTGGGTTGCTTTGAACAAAAGACTATGCAACACAGCTCTTGAGGGGAAATTCCCCAGGGATCAACAAGACAACCCTCAATCTTTCAGTGTCTGCTTTTTGTGTGATATTCTGCTTGGTCCTTATTGGTAAAGAGGTGCCAGTGTGGATTTTTAACAGCTGAAATCTAGACTAGCATTCCCTCTTTCAACGTTAACCCCAAAAGAATGCTGTAGATTTCCAATGGGATGTCAGAAGAAAGGCTCAGTCAAGACATCAAGCCAGCTGGCTGGTTGCTAAATCCAGGCAAAACGGAGTTACTATGGGTAGGCAGTGTCGTTGACTGTGAAGACTACACTCAGTCTGCTCCTACACCAGTTTGGTGTAGTGGTTAGGAGCGTGGACTCTAAACTGGAAGAACCAGGTTTGATTCCCCACCTTTCCACATGCAGCTGCTGGTGTGACCTTGGGTCAGTCAAAAGTTCCTTCAGAGTTGTTCTCTCAGGAGCAGCTCTCAAAAGAGCTCTCTCAGCCCCACCTACCAAACAGGGTGTCTGTTGTGGGAAGGGGAAGGGAAAGGAGATTGTAAGCCGCTCTGAGACTCCTTCGGGTAGTGAAGGCGGGGCCGGCTCGCTCACTAGGCGAACTAGACTTTCGCCTAGAGCGCAGGACCATCATGGGGGTGCCGGGCCAGGGAAGCCAGGCACACAGCGAAGCCTTTTCCCCAGGCCAAAGTTGCTCAGCAACCTGGCGCCGGTGTGCCCGCCCTGTGCATCACCGGCCTCCTCCAGCATCACCGCCGGTGCAGCGTGAGGAGGAGGAGGAAGAGGGGCCCCTTAGGAGGCCAGCGGCGGGAGGCACAGCCCCACTATGCTTCTAGCGTCTTCCTGCCGTTTCCTTCACAGCTGTTACTGCTGCTGCCTGGCCCAGCTCGAGCTCCTGCAGCCTCCGGCTCCATTTCCACGCTGCCTCTCAGGCAGCTCCCCCGCCCTTCACGAACTACCGCTGGGTAGCGAGAGAGGTGGGAAGGGAAGGAGGGATGAGTTTGCCCGTCACTCATGCAGTGTGGCAGGAGGACGAGCGCTGTCTCCCGGGCGCTGTAGTACCCTGGAGCCCGAGGGGAGTGCACACAGAGACCTCTCTGAGACCCTCAGCCGCCCATGCCGAGCTCTCTGCTGGGAGACCTGGTGCCTTGGAAGCTCTGCAAAGGTCCCTGCGTGGATAAGAGATCCGAGCCGCTCATCTGCACTGAGGGGGGGGCACCACAAGGCAGTCTTGCCTGGGGGGGGCGGGCGCCACAAGCTAACCTCGCCTAGAGCGCAGAAACTCCTCGGGCCGGCCCTGTCTCCATTGCTCAAATTCCGGTTTAAATCCAATCTCTTCTTCTTCACATGCCTGTAAGCATGAGGACTGCAGCCTGGGGGTGATTTAGATCCAGCTTTGCTCCCAGACGCAGCCCAAATCCTTGACCCAAAGGACCTTTAGACCAGGTTTGGTTGATGCTTCAGCAGCAGCCTCTCCATGCCGCTGTTCTCTGTGCCTTTGCAGTAACATACAAATGCTCAAGGGGCAGGTTCCTGTGGGGCAGTTTACTTCTGTTCTTTCACCGTTTAAAAGTAAACCTTCTGAGGATGTGCTTTCAGTTTCGGCCAAGGGGGAAAAGAAAGTGTCTCTCCGCTATTGTGATAACTGGCCTGGCCTTAACATGCATCATTTTCTGATAAGTTTGTCTCTTGTTTAGTTGGCACAGTGAGTGCAGCCACCAGTGCCCCCTTCCGGAACTTATGGCAATTCCATAACATGATCAAATGCACCATTCCGAGCAGTGACCCACTGAAGGATTACAGTAACTATGGCTGCTACTGTGGCCTTGGCGGCAGTGGGACTCCAGTGGATGACCTGGACAGGTAAATCAGTTCCTTCTTACAAAAGTACTCAACTCTCCTAGCCGTTGCATCTTCTCATTGTATTGTTTTATATCTATTGTTTTATATACCTCCCTCCGTTTGGGGAGGGCGATATATAAATCTAATAAAATAAATGTACCAATAATATAGATACTGTCTACTCTGACGTTGGCCCAGTTAGAGGGTCTGCATTCACTTCTCACTCCAGAAGTATTCACTTTTTGTTTACTTCATCTGTATATCACTTTCCCCCCCAATGGAGACCCAAATGACTTCTAACATTCTCCCCATCTCCATAGTGTCCTTGCAACTACCTTGTGAGGTAGATTAGGTTAAGAGTGTGTCCACCCAGCAAGCTTCCATGGCAGTGTGGGGATCTGAACCTGGATCTCCCAGATTCCAGCCCAGCACTCTACAACTACTACGCTACACTGGTTCTCAGTAAGAAGTTCTCATCGCTGGAATCTCTTGGTTTAATCTGGATCCTTTTTGCCAACAGAAAAATCCATGAAGGACATATCAAAGATAATTCCATAGCTGTATCCACTATACCTCAAAATATCAGCTGCTAGAGTCAAAGAAGAAGGGATAACTGGGAATCACGTTCATGCCCTGCTTCGGAGCTCTTTGGGGCATCTGGCTATTATATTCAGAAAGACACAGAGAGGTTCATAACATTCCAACTGACAGGGAGAGAGTTGTCTCCCTCTCTCATACTGCTAGAACTTAGGGTGACCCACTGAAATGGATTAAAAAGGAGTACTTTGTCAAAAGACATATAAATGACTTACAGAATATGTTGCCACAAGATCTGGTTGTGAGTACCAGTTGAGATAACCTTTTATAAAGGCTCTAATGCATTCACAGTGCCCGTTAGCTATGACGGAAAAATGGAGCCTCCATGTTCAGCAGCAGTATACCAGAACCCAGGACAAACAAAAGCAAAAATGGCACCTACGGGTGCTGTGGCACCTGCCACAACTTCTCCTGGAGACCACCAAGCTTTTCAGAAAGTGGGCAAGGCCATTGTAAGGCAGGGCTTGTTATTGACTGTCCTTATTCAAATTCAAGCGTTTTGAGGATCAATAATAACGGTAAGCACCCAGGCTATTCTTAGTCAGTGTATAGTTTCACTCCCCTTTCAGGCTTTCCTTTTTATTCCCTGTTTTCTTTTTTTCTCCTCCCTTATCCTATTCCTTCTTTTTTCCCTTCAGCTTTTATTAATTTCTTCTTATTCCCAGCCCCCTAGCCAGGATTTTTTTTTGAGGGGGTGAGCAGTGGTGCCTGGGGCACAGCTATTTAAATTAAATTAAATGAGCAGCGCCCCCCACCCCACCCCGTGCCACAATGAGGGTTAGAGAATCACTTCAGACCAGTGATTCTCTACCCCTTCTTCCAGCGCAGCACGTGGCTAAGATTGCAATTTAAGATTGGGGTTGGGGTGTTGGGGTGGGGGGCTCTGAAGATCTGATAGGGGGCTCAGCTCCTAAACCCTCAGGGCTATGGCCCTGTCTACTCCTCTCTTCTGATTCTTTCACAAAATGAGTCATACTGAATTTGGCTGCACCTTCTGCAGCAGCCATTTTGGGTTTTGCTTTACCTCTTGTGGCAGGGTGGTCTTCACCGTACCCTCTCAGAATGTCAAAGGTGCTCGCAGGCTCAAAAAAGTTGGAGACTCATGAACAAGAGGGTCTTCACTTCCAAATCCTGTACTTGAAAACTTCCAGAGGGAGGCCTAACTGGGCATTGCTGCAAACGCAATGCAGGGCTAGATGGAACTTAGTCTGATCCAGGCATGACTATCCCTAAACTCTTGCCAAACACTGTGGATTGTGCTGAATGCTTCTGCTTGCTGAACAGGTGCTGCCAGATTCATGACAACTGCTACGGAGAAGCCAATAAACACTCTGACTGTAAATTCCTCCTGGACAACCCCTACACAAAGACCTACACCTACAGCTGCTCTGGCAGTGATATCACCTGCAGCGGTAACATATATCTCCACATTATACTTAGTTATAGGGACCGAGCACACGCTTTGCTTGCAGATTGTTCCAGGCTTAATCTTCATATATTTATTTGAAAGAATGTATTTGCAAGAATCTCAAAGAGCAGCGTTAGGACTGGAAAAGGCCTAGTTAGCCAGAGGAGACAGAGGAGTTGGAGCCCTGTTCTGACCTGATACAAGGTAGCTTCCTCTGTTAAGGTCTCCGTTGGTTTTGGAGGGTGGGGAACAGGGCCATCCAAATGAAGGAGTTGTGAGGGGCAGTGTCTTTAGAGGAGCACCACAGGATCCTTTGTGTTGGTTGCAGAAAAGGGGATGCTGGTAATTCTTGAATAAAGCAGTACTTGCTTATCTTCGTTGCCATTAGCAGTGCTGTAAGCAGGCTAAACGTAGTAACAGATTTCATTCGGTACTTTAAAATGAAAGTAATCAAAGCAGAAACAACCCCAGATGGGGAGAACCAGATGGCGTATACATTATGCCAAGGTCTTCAAACTTTCCAGACCTAAGATTCACCTTGCACCAGGTAACAGAACAGGACCCACGGCCTGTAAAACAAGTGACAGGAAGTCTCATGACCCCACAGCCATGGTGACAGGAAGAGGAGGAGTCGGAATGTCTGGCCCTGCCTGTGCTGTAGAGGAATCCTCTCCAACATAAAGAGACCTTGCTTTGCTGTGCTGCTTTTTTTAGTGTGCATGTCAATACAGGCACTTTCTACATGTGCAGTGCATGGTAGCAGCAGATTCTTCCATAAACAGTAAGGCCAGTCTTTAAGGGCTCATGACTTCACATGTAAGCCTCCACGACCCACCTGAAAGTCCTAACCAATGGGGTGAAGGTCACCAGTATAAGGGTTAGGATGTCAGTGCAGGGAAGACCAAGTTCAAATTGACAGTGGCCCCTGCCACACGGCAGGGAAAACACCGGTGAAAGTGCGGCTAATTAGAGCCGCACCAAAATAGAGACACTGCGGGCGGGATCCCATGGATCCCGTGAGCCGCGCGCCGTTGCTCCCCGGCACGATCAGATGCCGGGGAGGAAGAGACGAGTGGGAGGGGGAGGCTGCCGAACTGGGCATGCTCGAGCATGAGCAGTTTGGCCGGGGGCCGGGGATGCGCCGGCGCAAGGATGCGCCAGCGATCCCATGGCCGTACTTGCCGCGGCCCTTTCGATTGAACCACCCGTTTAGGTGGTTCTTTTATGGTGCGCTTTTTCGGCGGAAGGGACGGATGGGGGACGGGCGCAGCACGATTCCCAGATGTTGCTGTGGGATCGCGCCCATTTGCTGCGGCCCCGATCCATCCCTCTCCCGGCCCAAAATCCCTCGTTTGAACAGGGCCAGTGTAATCCCGAGGAGAGTTATTCCAGTCTAAGATCATTCATTTCAATGGGTTTAGGCTGGAGTAACTCTTTTTAGGATTACACTGTGTGCTGCTGTGAAGCTCCTGAGGTGACTTTGGGTCAGTGATTCTCACCCTGTCCTACCTCACAGGATTGCTGTGAGGAATACTGATAAAGAACCATGTATGATGTTCTGAAGTCCTGGAAGGAAGGAAAGATAAGACAAAAAGGGGACACATTTTAGCTGGCTTTAAAATGTAATTAATCACAACAATAATGGTAAAGATCCGGGAAGCACAGGAAGGACTGCCACCTTTGTTTAAACTTGTGTAGGGTCAGTTGTAGAATAACAGAAAAATGCTTAACACAAGCAGGAGTGTCAGCTTTGAAAGTTTCACAGTATTTTGGGACTATGTCCTTAGATGGCCACCAAGGAAGATATGCTCCTTTAACATTTTCTAAAAAGAGAGGCACTAGTGGTCAAGGCTGTGTAAAGCAAGTGTGTGGGGAAAGATCTTTCTTTAATACATAACATATCTTTCTTTTTTAAAACAATTGGGGTATGGCCAAAGATGGGGGGTGGGGAATAATGCTCAACAGCTGTCGCTAATTGAGGAGAGACTATTAAGCCGACTGTAGGCAGAGTGAGATCATTGGTCCATGAATCTCTTCAGCCTTTGCAGCTAAGCAAATAGTAAATCCTTTTAACTGGATATTCCAGAGACTGAACCTGGACCTTTCTGCATTAATACAGTTGAGCTCTCTTTTAAAACGTGTTAATATTGTTGTTTCTCAAGATGTGTTCAGACGTCTAAATCTTCTTGTTTGGGGCCAAGCCTCTGTGTCTGGGGTAGTATTGCCAACCAATCTCCAGGTGGTGTCTGGAGATCTCCTAGAATTACAACTGGTCTCCAACTAGAGATCAGTTCCCCTGGAGAAAATGGCTGCTTTGGAAGTTGGCCTCTATGGCATTTCACCCAGATGAAGTCCCTCCCCCTCCCCCAGCTCTGCCTTCTGCAGGCTCCACCCCAAAATCTCCAGGAATTTCCCAACCCAAAGCTGGCAGTCCTGGTGTCTATTTCAGAATGCATGCTTGGGCCCTGCAGATCACTGCTCCACCAAGCTCAGGCCTTTCCCAGCCGTGCTACCCAGAATTTTATTAGAGGCCTAAAAAAAGGGAGTGTGGGAGTGTGAGGTGAGGGATTGTTTTGTGATATATTTATGCCCCTCTGAGAAGTCATCCACAATTTGCTCCTTCCTTCTCTCTCCAGAAGAGAATGATACATGTGCAGCATTTATCTGCAACTGTGACCGAAGCGCTGCCATCTGTTTTGCTGGAGCTTCGTACAATGAAGAAAACAAGAAACTGGACACCAGCAAATTCTGCAAATGAAACTCATCTCATCTTGCACAAGCGCACGGAAACAAAACTTTTGCATAGTCCTCGCGCAGGTTGTTTCCCTGAGCAGGATCTCAGAAACATTTTGGGGCACAACAGAAAGGCTGGAGTTAGTGATACAAGGGAGAATGTGTTAAGATTTCCCTACATCATAGAGATTACCCTCTAATAAAATTAGGCATCTAAACTGGTTTTGTTGAGTTCGTTTTCTTTCTTTTTTACAAACTGATTTTGACAAATGAAGTTAGTTTTCCCCCAGTGCCTATTTCTACGTGGCATTAGGGGAAGTAAGGAGGAGGAGCGAGGTCTGGGGCTGGTGTTATTAGAGCCCCAGATTTATCTCAGGGAGACCTGGGTTCAGGTGCCCCCTGAGCCATGAAACCTGCTGGGTGACCTTGAGCAATGACTCCCTCTTGCAGGGTTGTTGTGAGGATAAAAAGGGGTGGGGGAGGAGCTCTGTATAGGACTATGGGCTTCTCAGAGGAAAGAAAGGCAAAAACGTAATAAATAGTAATTTTGAATGGTCCCATGTCTGAACAGCTTAACCCACGATGGCATCCATGGGGCATCCAGGCCACTGGCTGTATCCAGACCTGATGGCTTTTCTAGGAGCTCTCCAACTAGGGTTACTAACTTCAGCTTGGGGAAATTCCTGGATAAGTGGAGGTGGTGCCTGGGAAGGGTAGAGTCTGGGGAAGGAACTCAGAAGTCATCTAATGCCATAGAGTCTATCCTCCAAACTCGCCATTTCCAACAGGGGAACTGATCTCTGTAGTCCGGACATACCTGGAGAACTCTTAGCCCGTATCATTGGGGCCCTTTCCCACACAGTGTTAATGTATGGGACATTGATTTATTTATTTAAAATATTTCTCTCCTTCCTTATCTCCTTGGACTCAAGACATTTACCAAACAATTACCCCACCTTTGCTGATGGGATAGGGCAGGCATGTCCTGGAGATTGACCATCACAGTACCTTAGTGAGAGGCTGCCGTGTTTGTTCTTCTTTGTTTTATGGCATCCCTCTTCTAATGTGTTGCCCTCTTATTTTACTATCTTTCAGTCTTACGGTTTTGTAAGGCATTCTCCTTTGCTAGGTTAAACATAATTCCTTCCGTGCCTTTACAGGGCAGGTTTGCCGGCAAGGTATATTCTGACACAGAATCTGCCATTGTGGCTTGCAAATGATCGATACACCTTTCTACATTTTGCTAGGGGGTCCTGTGTTTGTGACTCTCAGGAATCATTATATTGTGCCCCCATTAAGCAACCACTTACACTCCCCTTCTCTCCAGAAACTGTTCTTACTCAAAGATAACTATCCAAAAATTGAATTGGGTGTGGCTAAATATGCATCAGTCCTTTTAACCCTTGGTTCCAAATAAAATATCTAGAAATTTTTTGCTGCTCAAGATTCTATATCTATGAGCTTCTAGGGGTGGAAAAAACAGGGGCAGGGTGCTTTTTTCCTTATGAAAACAGATGATCCTCTCCCCACACCCACCCTCAAACAGACACGTTTGCAATCTGTTCAATTATTTGCATGCCCATTTACACCAAAGTTGGTTTTCACTGTAAGGCAGGAAAATTAATAGGGAGTGGGAATGATAATGGTATGGGAACTGCCACTGTGGGACAGAAACTCCATCAAAGGTTGTGCTCCCCCAGCCCAATTTGAGAAAGCACACGGCAGTCTTGTAGAGAAGAATCCAAACTTTAAAACTTTATTAATAAAGGAGGGAAGCACGGGCTCAACAAGGTTTTGGACCCCACAGCTCTCCCTAAGGTTACAATGGGAGACATAGGGTTTTATACCCCGTATGACAGTTAGAAATAAATCACAATTATTGGTTCCATCAAAGTTTGTCACATATCCGTCACATCATTCTGATTGGGTTCCAACCTGTGGGTTGGGTTTTCCCAGGCAAAAATATACCTTCTTCAGCTAAACAATAGGCCTTCTTCTTCCCATTCTGTGAGATTCTAAAAAGTATCTAATTGTAACAAATATTAGTACCTAACGCAGTGTTCTTTATCTAACGCAAGCAAACTGACATCAGGAGCATGCGCAGTTACAACTGGCCACTATAAGCAAGGTCAGTCAGTTACTGCCTGTCAGCATTTGGTATTTTACCCAGAATGCCTTTAAGCAATGAACCAGAGTGAATATCTGAATATATGTTCATGATTGATTTCAGCTACTGTGATTAGAATCATCAAAGGCACTTGACATATGCACCATGGAAGTGTTAAGTGCACCTACTAAGTTAAACTGACTGTTAGTCAGTGGCAGAGTACAAAGTGTTTCATAAGCGGTGTGTACAACACCACCTTTGTCCTTCCAGGCCACCTCTGCCCATTGATGACAGGCAGAAATTCAACCCATGCTGACTTCCAAGCTGGTCTGTTTCTGTTAAATCTCTGCCTGTCAGACAGCTCTTAAAAGACCCAGGAGCCCTACAAGAAAGGAACAGTTGTAACCCTCATGGGAGCATTCCTTTAAGCTCCGGCTGTTTCTCCCAAGGTGTCCCCCTATTTCCTTGCAAGCTTCCCAGCTTGTACCCACTCTGGTTCCCTCTCAAAAAGAAAATCCTGAGCGATGCACAGCTGGAAAGTTGGGAATGGTGCCAAGCTGTTTTTAATTATGATGACATAATTGCAATGCTGGAGGCATCAGTGGAAAAGCAAGGGATTGGTTCATTTGTCCTTGATGTCATAATTCCTCTTGGGACCTGCAGATGTGAGAGACCAAAGCAGAATGAGGCACCTTGCAGAGCAGCTTTCTGCCATCCACCTCAGAGCCAATACACCTTTTGTGGCTGGCTGGCCCAAGACATTGGCTACTTGGCTCACATAGATCATTAAAAGGATCTTCTGGAAGTAAGTACCACTTTTCAGCAGAGGTATAGTCACATACTTAAGAAGAAGAGAAGAGATTGGATTTATACCCCGCCCTTCACTTGGAGTCTCAGAGCAGCTTACAAACTCCTTTCCCTCCCCCTCCCCACAACAGACACCCTGTGAGGTGGGTGGGGCTGAGAGAGCTCTTGACACAAACTGCTCTTTTTCAAGGACAGCTGTGCCAGAGCTTGTGACTGACCCAAGGTCACATCAGCAGGTGCAAGTGGAGGAGTGGGGAATCAAACCTGGTTCTCCCAGATTAGAGTCCGCACACTTAACCACTACACCAAACTGGCTCTTAAGGGAGGGGGGTGCACAGAGAATAAGGATGTGGGTCTTTCCAGCCCATTTGGCAGAGAGCTGCACCTGTTTCAGGTTTTGGGGGAAATTTCTGACAGAGCGGTTCCTCAGCGGAACAGGTTTCCTCAGGAGGTGGTGGGCTGTCCTTCTTTGGAGGTTTTTAAGTAGAGGCTAGATGGCCATCTGACAGCAATGCTGATTCTATCAACTTAGGCAGATCATGAGAGAGAGGGCAGGAAGTATTGCATCAGTGCTTGGTTCTCGTGGCCCTTTCATACACGCCCAGGGGAATGCCAATTGCCACTTTGGGGTCCAGAAGCAATTTTTCTCCAGGCCAGTTTGGACAGGGATCCTGGAGGTTTTTTGCCATCTTCTGGGCATGGAGCAGGGGTCATCACTGGGGGTGTGGGAAAGGAGGTATTTGTGATTTTTTTGCATTGTACAGGGGTTAGACTAGATGACCCTGGATATCCCTTCCAGCTCTATGATTCTAGGATCCAAATCATATCACTTGGCAACTCAATGCATTACTGTGTTTCCCACGTACTTATTCTGTCTTTTTCCAGCACTGATGATTTTTTAAAGAAATGCAATTGCAGAGCCAGATAGTCCTTAATTTAAGTTCTATTCTCATTATTACAACCCTTTTACATGTTCCTCTTTCCATTCTTCTTCGAGCATAATTACTTTGTGATCTCTCCTCAGTAGCCTGCCAGGGCACAAATGAATAAATGATTAATTATCAACACTTTCTTGACAGGGAGAAAGGTTCAGTACTGTTTTTAACCTTTTTTGGTTGTGATTGTTATAGTGCAGTAAATTTGGTTGCAAAGTTAAAAGAGCAGCATACCTTATCTTCATCCCCCTCCCAAGAAAAACAAAATAACAAAAAGAAAACTGGAGGAAAGTGGTACCTTTGTTGAATGCATAGTTTCTGGGGAAAGTGGTGTAATGATTCCAGGTTTTGGTTTGTGTGTTCCTTTAAATGTTAGTTTGACTGCTGTAATGCAAGGAGTGTGATGGGGGAGATGAGTGTGCTGTGACTGGCTGATGACTGAGTGCGGGAGATGTTCTGAGGGGAATCTGTGTGAGTGTTTTAAGACAGAGAGTTTTGTGTATGTGTCTTTGGAAAATGAAGTGTGGAAGAGCTATGAAGAGAGTCTGTGTAACTCTAAACGTTTTGTGAGAGAGGCAAAGAAACAAGTAGTGTCTAAACTGTGTGGTTAGACAAATGTTTTCTCTTGTGTGCCTAAGACAAAGAGCTTAGCCAGGGTGGCTACATATATGAGAGAGAGAAGCCTGTCAGCATGGAATTTTGGTGTCTGAGAGACTGTGTGTGACACCTTACCAGTTACATTTACAAGTTCCTTTTTTCTGAAACAGTTCAAGATAACCAGAAACCTATTTTGTTCTTTATTCAATAAATCAATTTTTGTTTAAACATATCCCAGAAATCAGTACAGTCCTTCCTCAGGGCCACATAGTCCTCTGAAGTGCCCAGACCCTAGGTCATACTACCAGCAGAGAGATTTGGAATTTTAAATTCCTGGTGGCAGCATAATACTACCAAGTTTATATACACAGAGGGTGGTTTAATGAAAAAAAACCCCCCATAAGCAAGCACGCCACAAGTGGAATGCTGAACTTGGAGGTGCACTATACAAGAATTTTATGTGGAATATTGTGCTCTGTTAAGTGCTGTGTGGACCCTCACTTTCTATTCTGCTTTGAGCTGATTGTGGGGGGAAAAACAAACCATGCTTCTAGATCTGTTTTGTTGCTTGGGTCAAGACCATGTATTAGTTGCTTCCTTGCTTGCCATTTCTGTCACACAGTGAATAC